TTTGTATTCCTCTTTATTCATGCAGCTGCAAATTGAATCCAGGTTTTGTATTCCAACAACAGGCAGATCGATAAAAGTGAAGCGAGAGAGTCTTGGTATGGCTTCATCATGCAGACAAAAACACATCAGATGAGCTCTGATCCAATCCATGAATGCTGATGAACCTTCAGGCACAACCAGTTCAAATACTGATCACTGAACCAATACATAAACTGTGCCACAGATCACAAAGCTGGACACAAGCTAGATGGAAAGCAACATAGCTTATCAGATGCTTTATAGTAATTTTATCAATTGTTTTTAGGGATCGTTCACAGTTCACACCAAAATGGAAATGCTGTCATCATGTCATTCCAAACTTGTACTTTATTTCTTTTATGGAACATAAAAGGAGATATTTTGAAATTAAATCACTTCCACTGAATAAAGAAAGTTATACAGGTTTAGAACGAACAACATAAGGGCAAGTAAATTATGACAATTTCATTTATGCATGAACTCATTTAAACAAACGATTCAGTCAGATTCTAAGCAGATCTGAGCTGTTCAGAGTGTTTTTTCAGGTTTGCAATGCTCAAAATAGTACAAACACTACTAAAGTACATTAGAGCATTAAAGGGTTACTCCACCCCAAAATGAAAATTGTGTCATTAATCACTTACCCCCATGTCGTCAATTGTTGAATAAAGTCGTTATTTTTGTTTTCTTTGCGTACAAAAAGTATTCTCTTTAAAGGAATAATTCACCCATAAATGAAAAGAAATTGGTCACAATTTATTAACTCTCACATCATTGTAGACCCATATGCTGTTATTTTTTTTCCCATGGAGCAACATTATTTTAAAGAAATTTTATATAGCTCTTTCCTTTTGTAAGAGACAAGTTAGTCCTCTACTATTTTTCTTTAAGAATGGTCATAGATTTTTTTTGTAAAAAAAATCATAGATGTAATGTCAGTTACATAAAAAAGCATTTTAGTCTAATTTGAATCCTAAAAGTAAGACTGATTACCCTTTGCCTTGACTAACTTCTAGTTGGTCAAACCAGGGTTGCCATGTCTGCAGTTTTACCACGGAATTAGGCTATTTTTACACTGTTGCTGTGAACTGTTTTTTTAGTCCACTTTAAAGCAATCTCTCCCCCATCATCCTGAAAGCTATTTCGACAGAGGAGGACCGCTCGGAATGTGATTTCGATGGAGAAGACCACCGACGGAGGGGAAAACCAGATAATAAACGCGATTGGACTAGTTTTGGGCTGGTCTTGAATAGCAATTATGCTGATTTTGTTTCACAGACCTGTCAACCCTGGGTCAAACTAGCTCTTTAGACACAAGCTGTGTCCAAAGTGACGTTGTCTAGCTAGCAGGTACTACGTTAGGCTTAAGACTTACTTTACAACCATTAAAAAAACTTTCTATATAGTATAAATATGAGTAGCATGAATGAAGTCCAGACATACATTTTCCGTCATTTTATCAGCAACATGTCCTACCAGCTACCATTCACAACTCTCCTCTGGCTTCATGCGATAGTAAAGTGTTTATCAAATGTATACTCCAAAATTTGGACAGAAGTAATCAAACATACTTCTGTCAATCATACCCCCCCCCCCCCCCCCCAACCATACTTTTATAATTTTGGAAAATGGTGTAATACGATGTTACGTCATAGCAAAATGATTATACAGCCCCTGTAATTTCCTGAGTGGGTCATGAAAATTAAAATGTTATGCTTTTTGTAATTATCCTTTTCTGATGGCTTGTATTTGCATTCATAAATGCAGTTTATTATGCACAGAGTGTCACAGTATAATACCATAGCTTAAGACCTGCAGGAAATACTATTGAAAAACGTAATCTCTGCAGACCGGATTGAATTTGACAGCATTTCAGAAATTACTTGTCAGCATTTAAGCTCTCCGAATTCGATCGTGTAAGAACGAGAGAGCTTGTTGAATATAAAACAGTAATCAATTCTTATTATTGTTTTATGTAATAACTCTCTGTTTGAGTGCTGTGCTGTACTAAACCTCATGTACTGACAGCATACTGACACATACTGACAGTATGCAGGGCTGGATTTCAGCCACACTGCACTACTGGCACTGTGTCCTCATGGCAGCCCAAGCATGCCTTCAAATTGGACCCCTGACAACAGAGCCATAAACAACATTTAATATGAATTTTTGAGCCTAATACAACATACCAGAGCGAATTCCCACTAAAAAAGGCAGTAAAATGTGAGACTTGTTGAAATGTGATCATCACATCACAATATCACAACTTCACAGGTTGATAACTCAACCCACTGCTCAATGCTGCAGTATAACTGTCATTAAAGTAATATGAATTCAAACCCAGGCATCAATGCTGTCTAGTTAGAGAGCTTACAAGGTTTTCAAACACAGTCAATATAATATTTTATATTATACAATATTTTATATTTATTTTAATATAATAAAAAGTCAAAAAGTCCATGAAAAGTGCAAAATCTGTGTTATGTGTGGTCATGAATTGTAGTGTTATAGTGATGTGGGTCAGTTAAACTAAATATTCTATTCTAAAAATTCTAAATACCAGATACTTTGGTTATTCTACTCCAATAAATAATCAATTTTGTGCATGCTGAATATTCTATTGCAATTTTATTGAAAAATGTTCTAAATATATTAAATTGTATTCAGTTCTTTTAAATGATCCATTTAACGCTGACTATTCTATAAAATGTTATAACATATTCTAATATTGAATGTTACTGAATGTTAAATGTCTGTAAAATAGTCTATTGAATATTATGCTTTTTATGCTGAATATTCTATTTTTTATAAATATATTTTTATTCTATATATATATATATATATATAAATTAGTTTTAGTTTTGAATATATATATAAAATTGCAAGTAGGTCTGCAATGTTTATTTCCAGGAGAACTCAGACATGACGCAGACTAGATAAAGTGCACACTAATGCAGCCCTAAATGCAGAAATGTCTTCATTTATGACTGATAGCACTTACATGTCATGCAGACACAACGATTAAGGAGATCACTGTCAGAGATGATACATGTGCCACTGCTGTTGCTGCAGTGATGCTGATGCTGCTGGTGGATGTGATAGTGGAGGTGTTAGATAAACAAGCATCAGCAGCACCACTGCGGACCTGCAGCACATCACAGCATCCAGCATCTCCAGCACTACTATAATGCAAAACTGCCATCATAACCTGATGCTCTTACACAGCTCACTGTCAATAGCAGTTAACATGATTACATAATACATAAAGCAGATGACTATACCAAACTTTCATATTTAACAACTCGTTAAAATGTCAGGCATTTACCTTTGAAAAGAAGAAACCGAGGTGGAGAGATAGTGGCACGCGCTCCTCTTCCGTGAAAGTAAATCAAGATTCACAGTAAACTTTGCGTGTGCATTCCTATCACGACAAATTCCCTCTCCCGCTTCTCTCGCGGTCAGTGTGGACGTGGTGCATGTAAACCAAGTTTAGTCTGGGCACGATCACACTGTACATCGCCTACAACGCGAATGGCAACTGCTTCCACCAATCACTGAGGAGCAGAGGCATAGCAACACTACGCTGATTGGACAGAACGTGAAAAAACTCAACCAATCATTATTTAGGCTGGTATCTACCTGCAGCGCTAACTGAGTTTAGGCAGAATTTGTCGTCAAAATCTAATTTGTTCGTTTAGTATATATTTCACTTTGGGCTTGAAGGTACAGCTGCTTCATCGTGTTCATTCTTTGATGAAATCGTTTCAAGGTCCTACCAAATACAACTATGTAAGTATATTCTTTTTTAAACTTTTTAAAACACCTTGAAGTACTACTTCAGCACTTAAACTCATTAGGAAATAGCAGTAAGGCATACAGCATAATCTATGACAATGAGTTAAATGTACGGTTGAAGACGTTTTCATGTTGCATACAGTATTTATATAGTATATGTTATTTCGTAGTGTATGTGTAAAGTGATATGATACGTTCACAAACAGTGCTTATATTTCATATGTGTTTGGTTGGTTAGTTGAAGCAAGTTTTAGCTATCATAGAGCGCCCCCTTCTGGTCAAAATGCGTTTTTTTCCAGTTATGGTCTGTATCAGCGAATGATTTTTAAAGTAACACATTTGTATCCAGTGTTGAACTTTGTGGAAACATTAAACTAGTGACCATTTGGAAAGTGTGCATTAAGAGATACTGTAAGAGTCCACAGTCCCAAAAGAGTTTTATGTGAGCCCATAATAACACTAAGGCAAGACATAGTCTGTTTAAATTCACTTATAAAATATATTTAATGGCAGTATATTCACATATCCAAACAGAACTGTGCTTCCGATACCAAATATTATCTATAATAACTAATCTTTGAATTACAGTACTATCATTTACAACTAAAACAGTGCACTGAATTCATACACAACCAATGAAAGTGGCTTGGAGAAAATATGAACCAGAAAATTAAACACAGCACAAAGCTAAGAGTTACTGTATCTGTATACACTTCACAAAAGAGGGAAACATTTGAACTCCACAAATGCTTGATTATCTAAAAGTCTTAAGATTCATTCTGTTCAGGAGTGAGTTACTGTCATGTCAGTTTTGAATGCATTCTGTTTTTCCTTAAAAGAGTGTTTCTGTTTACCGTTCTCTTTCAATACAGCAAAACTACCAGCATTTTATAGATAAAACCTTTTCCTGTTTTAGCAAAAGTACATTCAAATGTCACATGAACACTATACACTACACTTGATTATGACCCTTGTTACACTCCAAACACAACTTCTTTCATCAGTGTATAATATACACAACCAGTCAAAAGCTTGGACAAACTTGACTGACATTGTTTTTCATGATAACAAAACCTTTTGTCCTAAAGGCTATTGCTTGAATACATGAAGATGCTTTTAAAGACAAATATTAAGTTTCACTATGCATGACATTTTTTACAAATTTTACCTGTTATTTATTGTATTATTATTATTATCATTATGAGTTGGAGTATATATTAAATTAAAGCAGAAACAAGTTTTGAAGCAACTCAAATGAGTTTTCACATGTATAAAATGTTTTAAATGGTACATAATTACCATACTTTCTTTAATATTATACATTGTAATGTTGACATAGTAACAATGAAGATTGAGTTGGTGTGTCAAAACTTCTGACTGGTGGTCATATATATTAAACTACACTTAACATTTCAAGCAATAGTGAGGCATCTTTTCAGCCACAACTTATCTCAAAATTGACAATATTGTTAAAAGAAACAAATTCACAAAAACAAAATATACACGTCAAATCAAACCAGAGAGTAAACATAAAAATATATAATGCCTTCTGATTATTGGTCTCTCAACAATCCCATAGTACACCCCTGAAATTAGTATTTATTTTTAGTGCCCTGGAAAAACCTCAGTAGCTTCGGTCTCGAAATTTAGACAATTGACTCTTTAGTGAGTTCAGTGTTATTGCAGAAACTGATGCACAGCAAGTACCTGTGGGATTTACATCCTCACATTGTAATAACAATACAATGAAAGTGCCTGTAGAGAAAACTTCACAGAAATGTCATGATGATCATGACACCATCCCAACATGATTGATAACTCACCATAACCTCAGCCTCTTTTTATGGATAACATGTATTGCTATGAACTTAAAGCAACAGAAGTATTTCATGACAACCTATTTGGTTTAAAATGGCTCCGACGCTGATCGCAGATGTATGCAGAACTGATAGCTGCCACAACAGCAAGAATGTTGGGTAATTAAAAGGCCCATTTAGAAGCCAAAGATCAGTGGAAAAGCTAATTGATTGTTTACTTTGGCTGACAAGTGTTATTTAAGAGTGTAGTTGTTTTTCTCCATGAACTCTTTTAGCTTGGTGGGATAGTCTGTCATAATCCCTGTAGCCCCAAGGTCAAAAGCACGTTTAAAGTCCTCCTCGTCGTTCAACACCCAGACATACACCTGCGGTTGGAAAGGAAAAAACAAAGACCAGTGGAAAAGTCCCATGATGACATTCCAGTCAAGAGCGAAATTCCATTCAAAGCTCCTGCCATCTGCTCATGCACATCACAGCACTCAAAGCAATCTTAAGCATAAAGAACAAGTGGTGTATGACCTAAATCTCATTTGGAGATTAGCACTCACCTGTATTCCTCTGCTCGTCAGATGATCGAATAATGCTTTTCTCATGAGGAGCCTGAAAATACATTCATATCGAAATTCTAGCATATTTATGACTCTAGCAAGTATTAGAGTAACATGGCTAAGCTTAAGCTTTTCTTTATGCTTGTAATTATTTTCATCACTAAGACCAGAATGTGCAAAAACTCTAAAGAAGGCAGTTAACTACTTTCCAATAAGAAACACATAAACCGTGTTAAGTAAATATTTAGGTAAAAGGTTTATTGAGGCCAGAGTGCACATAAACTTACGTGTCTGCCAGCCATGTTACGAAACGCTGACTCCGTGTCTGACGCTCAGGATCCTTGAGTCTACGAGAAACCAAATCTTTATCACTTCTCAGATTTCCAACAAAAAATGTCTAGCAAAGCACTCGTTTTGTGAGCATACAAAGTCTGCTGAGCCTGAATGTACGAAGGACCAAATCTAAAGATTTTTTTTAAATACTAGAAAAGGAACTATAGGAGCATGTACACTATATTGCCAAAAGTATCGGGACACCCTCTTCAAATGAACAGGTTTGACTACTTTAGTAATATCCATGAGTACAAATCTTAATGCTAAAGCATATAATGATATCCTAGGGAATTATGTGCTTCTAATTTTATAGCAACCTTTAGGGCAGTCGTGGCCTAATGGATAGAGAGTTGGACTTGTAACCCAAAGGTCGCGGGTTTGAGTCTCAGGTCCGGCAGGGATTGTGGGTGGAGGTAGTGAATAACCAGCACTCTCTCCACCTTCAATACCACAACTGAGGTGAGACCCTTGAGCAAGGCACCAATCCCCCAATTGTTCCGGGTGTGTGTTCACTACTCACTGCTGTGTGTGTGCACTTGGATAGGTTAAATGCAGAGCACAAATTCCAAGTATGGGACATCACGTCCTTACCTTTTCTATTCTAACATGAATAGAAAAGGAATTATTTTCAAGGAAACTTCCTTGCCTTGTCTCTGGTCTGCAGAAAGCAAAGTCCTAATCCCAGCTGAACACCTCTGGTGTGACTTTAAATGCAGATATTTGAGCCAAAAACTCATCACCAAACACCAGTGACTTGTACATACACTATATGGACAAAAGTATTGGGACACCCCCTTCTTTAGAACAGAGAAAGGCACTTCCAAAACTGTGGCAACAGAGATGGAAACATAATTCATGTATTTAAAAATTGTATTTCCATCTCTGTTGCAACAGTTTTGGAAGTGTCTAAAATGACTGTACCCATATTTACAACTCATTACAACACCAAATTGGTGTTTGGTGATGAGTTTTTGGCACAAGGTCTGCATTTAAAGTCACACCAGAGGTGTTCAGCTGGGATTAGGACTTGGCGTCCTGCAGACTAGTCAAGTTCTTCCACACTGACTCAATCAATCATTTCTTTTTGAACCTTGCTAATACACAGAGGCATTGTCATGTTAGAATAGAAAAGGGTCCTGTCCAAACTGTTGCTATAAAATTAGAAGCACACAATTCCCTAGAATATCATTATATGCTTTAACATTAAGGTTTGTACTCATGGAAATGAATAAAGTAGTCAAACCTGTTCATTAGAAAGGGGTGTCCCAATACTTTTGGCAATATAGCGTATGCATGACTAAAATGCATATGTTCCTCACTTGGAAATGATTGAAGGCATGGGAATCTCCAGGAATTGTTCCTTAAGCGGGACGAAGGGCAGGAGGCCTGTGTAGAAAAGACCGAGTAACAGCAGCACTCTGGGCAAACTGAACAAGATTGGGATTTGTGGATTCTACAAAACAAATAGAAAAACGTCAGATATTGACATTTTGCGTACATTATTGTTCAGTTATGTTGTTTACTAATAACCAGTGTATTACTACCTCTTTGTAACATTTCTTAACAACTTCGTTGCTGGAGTTTCCCCAGACGGTCAGATGCTCCCTGTTGTATCGCACAACCAGCTCGGACACCTGACAGAAAAAAAGTAAAACACTATTTTGCTCATGGTGAACTCGTCTCACCAACCTGATTTTAGTGGTGACAAGCAGCTGCACAGACAGAGGATTCGAGGAAATGAAATATGAGCGGGACAGCAGGGGCCCACAAACCTTCTTGATGAGAGTGTCATTGTTGACCTTGATGTCGATGTTTATAGGGGTGTTTGGAAAAGCTTCAAAAACGTCTCTCAGCAGAGGGATGCGTTTGTCATCTCCTCCTTCACAGTAGCACTCTGAAACAAATCAGGAATAATGTAATAGTTGGACATACATGTCTTAGTTACCATTAAATGTATACAAAACATATCTGAAACGTTTATACAGTGGCTGAAAAACCAAGACCACATGTGCATCTGTTTTGGATTTCAATTGAGTAAAAATATTAACCGAAAAGTGGAAAAAAATGAATTCCATAATAAAAGTGCTATAATGGGGCCATCTGTACAAAGGAGTTCACATGATCAACGTTACAAACTTACTTTCATTTGATTTGTGACAAAGAAATGGATCAGAAAAAGTTTTTTCATATTCATTTTGCATTATAACATTACCATATAATTTATTTATTTATTTACTGTATTTATTTTAATACTACTACTTTGTTTCCAGGATTTAAATACAATATTAAATTATATAAAAAAAAAAAATTATTTAAACGAATTTTAAATAAAAATTATTGGAGTACATTTTACAAGAAAATTGTCACGAATTCGGTCTATGGACTTCCGTTTATTCACCACCAGAGGTCACCCTTTCCATTTCATTGACTCTCGCACTACACAAACTGTTGCATAGCACCCTGGACTACATATCCCATCATTCTTTGCACGATTTGCACACTGCACTGATTGCACACAGCTGTTTCTAATCACCTCACTCACTATATAACACCCACTCTAACCACCTTTCTCTGCTGAGTATTGTTTAGCCTGTACCCCTTTCCGAGCCTTAGTGGTTTCCTTGTTTTGCCTTGCCTGTTCCTGCGGTATCTGATCTTTGCCTGTTTTCCTGGATTTCTCCCTCTCGTCTTGCCCCTGTGATTCTGTCTGCCGATCGGTGACCTACGCTAGCCCTAGGACTATTCTTGTGTTTTTGCCCGCCATATACCTGTTTGCCATTGTTCGACCCTGCCTGTTATACCACGTCTCTTTAAATAAAGCTTGCAGATGGATCCACACGTCTCGTCAGCCCCGTTACAAAAATACTATTTCAGTCTTTTTACTTCAAATTTAATGATTAATTCAATTTGTTATTTCTTTGTAATTATTCATCAAATTTACTAGCTATTTCTAAGCGAAGCCATTTTTTTCAGTTTAGATTTTCAATCCCAGATTTTTAAGGTGGTCTCAGTTTTCTACTTCACTGTAGCATATTAGCAACACTACAGACACATTGGGAATCTGCTTAATTATACCTTCAGATTTGTCGAGCATTACCTGGACTGAACACTCACCTCGTTTGAAAGACACCCCAAGCTTACAAAGGTAAGGTGGAAGATCCTAAGAAGACAAACACACAAACACTTTCAGAATACAGCATATATTTACATGCTGACATTAGAGTTTATGGCCTACTACAAATTAGTCAAGTCTTGAAACATTTGGACTGCGATTGTGAATACAGGATGTTTGAAGTTTCTCAACTCACAGCATAAGCCACATCTGAAATGTATGCATTAATTCCAGTCGACCGCTTCAGGTTGGAATCGTGCAACACCACCACCTGCTCATCCTTGGTCCAATGACAGTCCAGCTCCAACATGTCAGTGCCCAGTTGAACAGCGCTGAGGAAGAAGAAAATGTACAACAGATGGGTTAAGGAAGCATCTGTTCATAAATCACGAACATGAAGCTTTTCATCCAGGGCTGCGTTTCCCAAAAGCATCATAAGCTTAAGTACATCGTAGACCCATTGAAACCAAGGGTTCTACGATCAACTTAGGCTTATGATGCTTTTTGGACAGCCCTGATCCTCGTAAAAAAAAATTGTCATCAACTCATAATGCCACTTGGATGAATGATGAAGAAACACTTCAGATGCTTCTGAATTCTTCAAGATCAAGTATACAAAGTTAACTAAGCATGTTAGGTTTTAGTACAGTCCTACTCATCAGTGCAAATCCAAGCAATGAATCGCCGCCAACTGAGAAACTCACTGCCTGAAGGCTGCCATTGTGTTCTCCAAGTTCTCACCAGCTCCTGGAGATGAAGAAAAACAACAATAGCAGTGCTTGGTATTTGCATTTGTTAGTCAACTAAATTACTTCAAGTGGAGTTCATGTTCAGACTGCATGTAGTTTCTGCAGTATTCCAGGGTTCACAGTCTACACTTCAGTGTGTAGTCAATAAAGTCAATTATGAACCCTCTGAACCAACACTGGCCCAACATGATGAAGGTACTATGAGATATGACTTAAAGATAAAAACAGGCTTTCCATTACATAGACAAGACAAAAATGTTGCATGACTATAAGGCTACAGTCAGCAATGTTATGAATGTAGCCCTGTAAGATTCATCCACTGACTGTGTCTCAAAACCTAGTGAGCTTCCTACCAAGTGAGCATTTTGTACATCACAGCTCACTAGGTCTTATTGAAATACAAGGAAAAGGAGTGATTGGATAAACGATGGAAAGCCTCAGACAGCTGTAGACTTGATAAAGCAGCGTTTGTCAGTCACTTAATATAAAACATCAAAATTGTCAGTAAATGTAATAAAAAATTTTTTTAAAACTAATGTTAGTTTTTGTGATATAATTTAAAATTGTATGTGACATCTAATAGGTATCTCATACGTCTCTAATGTTTTAAAAGCTAAATAAATTAATGGGACACCAAACGAATTGAAATGACAGTGAAATGGAAATGATTCTCAGTTAAAGATGTTAAAACAAAATTCTCTATATTTCACTTGAATGCTGGTATGATGTAAGGTGACAGGTGTTATCTCTCGACTAAAGTTCAAGATCTCAAGTGTTCTTTTACATCAATGGAATTTATGAGGGATTATTGATTATGCAACCCAAGGCATGAGACTTCAGCATGAATGACTTGACTCTGTTCTCTAAAGTAATAACCTATTTAGATATGCAATATAATGTCTGTAATCAGCACAATTCAACTTTTTTTTCTTCCATAGATCAGAATTCACTATGTTGACACATATTCACTAAATATGTAGCCCTTCCTATATATTGCAAGCAACTGAACCAAGTGTCAAAGGTCAGTCAATTTGGTCTGTCAAAGTTCACTACAAAGTTCAAGCCTATATTGCAATCGCTAAGAAGTCAGATATATGACAAAGATTGTCAATTGAAATGCTTCTAAACCGAAGCTCTCTTTAAATACAGCATAGAAATCAGCATTTAAGACATTGCTGTGTTGACTGAATTTGCCTTGTAATCTAAGAAAGAGGAACCTGGTTAGAATAGCTGTAACTGATAAAGTTCTACATGTCGACAGCACTTGCAAAAGCCCTTCAAGAATGGAGGTTTCAGGAGAAAGAACTGCAGCAGCTTCAGGTAAATGATTTTCTGAATTTGTTCTGAATGTCCATATAACAATAGACCTTCACTAAATAAAGCATTTCTGTGTCCAGGAGACCCATCAGCTTTACCTGCAGAAGTTAGAGGAAGTCTCCAAACTTCAAAAGAGCTTTGCTGCCTCCATCGCTCGACAGAAAAAGAATTTAAAGGAGAATTTAAAGGCTTTGATTAAGTAAACAAAAAGTTTTTTTTTGTTGTTGTCATTTTTGTTATGCTGAAACTTTATTGAATATGATTGTTGCCTTTTACCGTGCAATTTATGTTCCCAATCATAGGTTTAATAAAGGACTGACAGAAGAGGAGAAGAATGAGGTTAAGGAGGCCAAAGATCACATCCGAAATATGCCGAGCCTAATCTTTCAAATGGAAGCATTTCTTCCTAAGAAAAATGGGTACTGAAAGTTTGTTCAAATGAAAGGTTGTTTCAACTAAGCTTTGTTTTCAGAAGCCGCAGATACATATTATTTGTTATTTTGGCTTATCTTTTCAAGGATTTATCTCAGTCTTGTCCTTGGGAGTATGAATGTCAACCTTCCAAGCAAAGAGGCCAAGTAAGCACCAAAAAATATATATTTTAAATATATTTCAAATGTACTTAAATACAGAATATCAATAGATTTGTAACTTTATGTTAACTTTATGCATACATGATACATTTATTTTTCATAAGACATTAAGGCTTGCTTTCAGAGTTTTCTTGCACCATTTGCATTTGGCAAATAGGTTTTGTGTTTACAATTTAAGAATAAATACATTTATAACTCAAAAACGAAATTATATTTATTTAAACAAAGAATTTACAACAAAATAGAATAATAGCTCATTCACATTTAAACCTTAAATAAATACGTACATTAATTTCTTTCAGCTTTTGTAGAATACAGTCTTGAATAGGTCATCTTATACCTGTAAACTTTTTATTGTAGAGCTGAATACAAGGATGAGTATGAACGGTTCAAGCTGTATGTGACTGTGACTTTGTTCCTGCTGACCTTCGCTTGTCGCTTCTTCATCAGCTACAGGTAAGACTGAGTTCACACAGGTCTGACTGACACACTTTCCCTCACATTACATTTCATGCCTGTCTTTGTTGTGTGTCTGTAGAGTTGTGGATGCCCTTCTTAACTTCCTGTTGGTTTGGTACTATTGCACACTGACGATTCGTGAAAGCATTCTCATCAGCAATGGATCCAGGTCAGAAACTGTCAGATGAAACTATCTAAGAGACTTTCAGGTTTGAAGATGTGACATTGCTGCTGTCACACTAGAAATGTTTGATCAGTAATGGGTTTAATAAGCTGTCTCAAGGCCCTTCTCTTTTTGGCTTGTGCCATCTGCACAACCTTTGATTTTTTTTTTTTTTTTTAGGATTAAAGGCTGGTGGGTTTTCCACCACTACATTTCCACCTTTCTGTCTGGAGTCATGCTAACCTGGTGAGCCATTTCAGACCAGTTACTTAAATTGTCATTCACATGCAATTTTTTTTGTGTGGTGTACTTTTGAATGAAACTGGATTGTAAATTGTAAGGTGTGTGTATCAATTGGATCATGTAAAGTGGCGTTCCCATACTATCCAATAGCCCTTACAACCAAAGTGACACCGGTGGAAACAAACAGATATTGCAAGAGCAAGTTATTACATCTTGATTAAATATTAGAAAGGCAACACATCAGTTTTGTTGTTCTTAACTGAACTATATCCAAAACTAAAACTATTTCAAATAATATTTTAATAAAATGGAATATTTCTAATATTTGTAAAGTTGAAACACAATAAAATATAAATATTAGATAAAAATAGCAACAAACTAAAATAAATGATTATAACATAAAAAAATATATTATATAAATAATATATTTTTAAGTTGAAATACTGAAATGACTAAAATAAAAATAACAATTAAAGCTAAACAGAAATATTAAAAAACAAAAACTTATCAAATTTAGAAAAACACATAATGAACTTAAACTAAAATTACCCAATTTAATAAAATAATACTAAAATAACACTGCAGTTGTTTTCTTTGGAATAATGTTAAGATGTAAATTATTTAGGAGTGCAGTTTAAATTTAAATAGGCACATTTTATGTTGATTTTAAATGTATCAGCACAAGTTATTAGAACGAGTTATTAAAACAAAAAAACGTAAAACATTTTTTTATTACTAGAAATAAAATACCATATAAAAACGTTAAAACCTTTCAGTTGCCAAGGCAACATTTCCAATTTTCATTTAGTTTACAGTATCTTGACGCACTAAACAACTAAAACTAATACTGAAATAAAAATGAAAATGAAAACAGAAAATATAAAAACAAAAACTATTTCAAAATCTGAAAAAAATGTATAATAGTATCTCAGTGATACTAAAGTAACCCTGATCAGCATTAAAACGATACATTTGTTTTGAATCAGTGAATTGCCCTCAAACAACTCTTCTGTTGTATATGTAGGCCAGATGGTGAAACATACCAGTCTTTCAGGAACCAATTTCTGGCCTATTGTTTGTATCAAAGTAAGTTACAAACTCTTCATGGAGACACCACCTTGTAAAACATCTGTTGTGGGAAAAATGCCAACGCTGCGATATTGAGCGATTCTGAAGGCAAACGTATCACCTTCTCTCACAGGCTTTGTGCAGTATCTTCAGTACTACTATCAAAGTGGGTGTCTCTACAGGCTAAAAGCACTGGGAGAAAGACACAACTTGGATTTGACTGTTGGTAAGGATTTCTGGGTTTGCAGTATAAAGGAAATCTGACAGTGTAAAGCTTTTTATCAAATAGCTTTTTGTTTCCACAGAGGGCTTTCAGTCGTGGATGTGGCGGGGACTGACATTTCTTCTCCCCTTTCTCTTCCTGGGCCATGTACGTGTTTGTCTATCCTATAGAATATATAAATTCAAAGCATAATTTGTCATATATAAAGAATAAAGCTTTGAAAATGGAACAGCATATGCATTGCCTAATGAAAGAAATCATTTACTGTATATCTTGGTTCAGTTCTGGCAGCTCTGGAACAGTATTTCTCTCTTCAGAATGGCACAGATGCCTGAAAGTAAAGAATGGCAGGTCAGTGTTGCTTTGTAGACCTTTCCACAACATCATAATGAAATAATAAGTTAAATCCTCTCACTTAGCTAAAAATTATGAATCAATTAAGACTGCGATCTTGAAGTTGCAATAACCTCTTGACCTCTTTTTTTTGTGTGCAGGTGTCCATGTGTGGCTTCTGCTTTCTGGTTCTGTTTGCGGGAAACTTTTTCACTTTACTTGCAGTCGTCCGTCACAAGCGCAAAAACCAGCAAAAGACCAAGAGTCTGTGATTATTTAAAAAGAGCTTTCATGTAGAAATGCCAAAGAAGACAACTGACATATTTGTACAAAACATGCAGATTTATGTAAACAAAACTTACACAATAATCCATCTTTAATTTTTGTATTATCCTTTAGAAAACATGCAGAATGCAGGGGGATGTTGAACAACCTGTAATAAATTTGTTTGCAGAAGGGGATTTTTTAAAACCTGAATAAACTATAAAAATGAAAAGTGTTATTTGTTTTATGTGAAATAAATTTAGTAACATTATATATTAAAATATTAGCCTAACACTATTTTAACGAATTAACTTATTCCATAATAATAATGTTACTTATGTCATATTACTTAATATTGTTTATTACATGATTTCAATAAATTATATACATTTAAGCAGTGAAGCCTCACGCGAGAGTTAAATGACCTAAGATGACCTCATTTTCCCAGCATTCCTGCTCATAACAAGATGGCGGCGTCCTTCGACCTGCAGCCGTAAAGTTAGCCAGTTATTTATATGCGACATATGAAGTTAGATGTTTATCTGGCTATTGCTGTAGATTTATTAACAGTGCCGTCTTTTTGATAGACCACAGAAGATGTTGTTTTTAGCGGTGGTATCGTGTTTGCTGTATTGTGCAGTCGGCGCTGAGATGTCAGGTGGGTTTATATTGCAACGCATGGCTGACAAGCAGCATGAGAATGAGTTAAATTAAACTGTTAATCATATTATAGATCAACACTACGGCAATGCTGTAGATGCACATGCACTCATTTTTGCACGGCACTCTCAATGTTCTGGATCGAACCAGGTTTGCGGTTAGGCTGTGTTTCAAAATCTAGTGAGCTTCCTACTTAGACAGCATTGTTAGACAACCCAGGCGCCTTTCCAGTTTCAGTGTTTTTAAACGCTGCTATAATAGTAAAAGTGACTAGATAGGCAGCTCACTAAGTTTGGACGCATTGTTCTATAGCGCTTGTCTGTCTCATCAAAAACTATGGCGCTTATTGTTTGTTTACATATTTCCCGACAAGTCAGTGAGCAAACTATATTCCCGTGCATTCACAGGTGCTTTGAATGATGTTTGGGAATTCACTGAGAGCTACCTGCTGACTGTGTGGCAGAACAGGTTATATGTGTACACTACTGCTGCTGTTCTCATAGGAGTCTGGCTTACTGTCAACATGCTTTTCAAAAAGGTGATAAAGTGTGTTTACTCTTAAAGCCTCTCTGCTACTTAAAGTTTTTGTTAGGTTGTTTTCTCTTGATTGCTAATAAACACAGCTTAATATATTGTATTGTTCCTTTATAGAAAAAAATGGTCGACCCTATAAGTCCTCTGCTTTATAAATCTGTGAAAAATCAGGAACTTTCACCTGAAACAGAAAAAGTCCTTTATGTTTCTGGGGTCAAAGTGCTGTATGGATCACAGACAGGAACTGCAAAGGTTTGTATACACTGGTGGGCAAAAGTTTGGAATAATAAGGACTTTTTAGAAAGACATTTCTTGCGCTCGCCAATTCTGCATTTATTTGATTAAAAATACAGTAAAATAGTAATATTGTGAAATATTTTGAAATAACTATTTCAGTATACTTTTAGAAGTAATTTATTCCTGTGATACAAAGCTGAATTTTCAGCATCATTACTCGGAAATCATTCTAATATGCTGATTTGATGCTGCCATTCAAAAGTTTGGAGTAAGATTTGTTATTTTAATTATTCTTTTTTTTTTTATTCAGTAAGGATGCATTAAATGTATGATGTTAAGAGATTTATATTTCAAATAAATGCTTTTCTTTTGAACTTTCTATTCGTCAAAGAATCCTGAAAAAAATATAACATTTAAAAATGTAAAATGAAATGTTAAACAAAAATTGTAGTTCTAAGTTCTGCCTGTGTAATTGTTATAATTATTTATTTATCTAATTTAAAGAATTATATGCAACTGTGTTGTGACGTGTTTGTGAACTACTATTTTAACTCTGCCTAGGGTTTTGCAAAAGAGCTTGCTGGCGGCATCAGTGCTCAGGGGATCCAGTGTGAGGTTATAGATATGAAAGAGTACGACCCGGAGGATAGACTGGCTGAGGAGGTGAGCGTAGCATGTGCTTCTCTGGCCCCATACAGCCTGTCAATTTCATTTTTTTTTGTTGCATTACCATGTAGTCGAGGAAGTAGAAATAGATGATTTAAACTTCAGGATTTGTCATGCTTGCATAAGTATTTCACTTTCAGCTTTAAGAATATCACAGGAATTACTATGAGCTTCATATCTTTCAATTACCACTTACCACGATAACATTTACAGGGAGTATAGATCCTCTGGCTGACAGGTAATCATAATACTTGTAAAATGGATGTAAAAATGATTTACCAGCCTTTTATTTCACCAGAGCTTAAATATTAAAACTCCAAGAGTATTAAGAGCAAAGTAATATAATTACATTTTTTCGTTTCCTTAAATTACTTCTGTACTACCAGGCAAGGGCAGAACGCAAAACTACATAAACACCAAAACTGAAAAAATGCTTTGAATGAGTAATGTTTTGATAGAATTTAAATTTGTCTGTTCTCACAATTTTCAATCAGAGCAAAGCTGAGACAAATCTATTTGTCACAGGACAGTCACAGCACAGTCTAAAAGACCTGAGTTTTGTTCCTCTCTGCATTTATACAGTGTTATAAGCAGCACTATTATTCAGTATCATTGATATACAATTGTAGTTTTTGGTAATGTTTTGAATTAGGTTGTCTCCCTTTAATGTATTAATGTTTAGTATTTCTCTATAGTTTTTAATTTTTATTTATTTATTTTTTTGCAAAAAAAAAAGTTTACTTTTTTAGAATTTATTTTATTTATTTATTTTTTCATTTTAAGTAACAGTTTTTTTATGTTTATAGTTAACGACGACAACCCTGTTTATAAATGCTATAGCATGGTTTATTCATGATGTTTGCTCTGTTTTAAATATTAATAACAGTTTGGGTGAGTAACACAATCGGTCAATAAACATCTGGGTCATATTTTACCACAAAATCAAAAGTTTGTTTTTTTTCTTTTGATTTTAGTGAAAAAAGATCCAGACGTTTCACACGTTTAGTGCTCTTAGTAGAGAGCTGCTTCCGTGAGTACCATGTTAAATATTTCTTAATGCTCACATATAATTTGTTCTCTAGTGCACAAGCAAGATGGTCTGTGTGTTCCTGGTGGCCACATACACAGACGGGCAGCCCACTGAGAGCACCGAATGGTTCTGTAAATGGCTTGAGGAAGCCTCCACGGACTTCCGATATGGGAAAACCTTCCTGAAGGGAATGAGATATGCCGTCTTTGGGCTGGGGAACTCTGTTTATGTCGGCCATTACAACACTGTGAGACACGCCTTCATTTTTCACTCCATTTTTGATGGGACTGTGTTGAATCTTACGCCAAATATATTTTCTGTATCCAGGTCAGTAAGAACATAGATAAGTGGCTGTGGATGCTGAGCGCTGCCCGGATCATGACCAGAGGAGAAGGCGACTGCAACGTTGTGAAGAGCCGGCATGGCAGCGTGCAGGCCGACTTCCATGCCTGGAAAACGAAGTTCTTGAACCGGCTGCAGGCCCTGGCCAAGGGCGAGAAGAAAGCCTGCTCTGGCAAGTGCAAGAGCGGCAGCTGCAAGAATAAGAAGAAACATAAGGAGGAGGCAGAGGACAGCCAGTCGCACACTGAGAAGAACAACTCTGAGGCAAGCCAGCCCTCCTCTCTTTGAACACATGTAGTCATGGTAACAGCTCTCGCTCTGCACATCCCGAGAGCAGATTGTTCCCCTGCAGTCTGTGCTGCACTCTGTAAATAGGATCTGAACAGCGGGGGTGACATTACTGACTTCAGAGGAAATGATGTCCCTCTCATATTCTTTACTCAAACACTTATAGGCAACATCGTTCCAATGAAGTTAAGCTCCTTTGAGTGGTTTAAATAATAACGTCTAATAACCTGAAAGGCACATGAAATCAAAACTTTTCCCCCTTTCACACTGAACTAGCTCTGGATTTGAACTCAATGCTTTCAGAACTTGCTAATTTAAACATAGCATATCGCTGCCTTGTAGAAGTCTTTCAAAAAATGCATTTTAATATCCAAAGTCATTTAATTCAGCTTTTTTTTATTCAAGTGTCAGAGGTTCTAAGTAATAAAATCCTTAGCTGTCAATTCATACATGATATTTGTTAATATTTTATTTTAGATGGAGGTAGTCACGAAAGATTAGAACAATCAACATTTGGGGTAGTCAACATTTGAAGTGGATCATAAAAGTTCATTAAAGTTGTCCTAAGACAAGAATGCATTTTGGTTTTAGGACAACTTGGATGAAAGGTTTTGATCCACTTCAAATGTTGACTAGTATATTTTAACATCCTGAATAATTTCATTTAGCATCTATATAAGCCTTCATAAGATACATTTATCTGTGACCGAACCATATTTTCGACAGTGAAAGTGCTCAGTTTCTCATGGGGCCTGACTCTGGAACCAGCACCTGTTTTGTGAAAAAAGAAGACTAGTCGACTAGGCTAAATGATATGCTACTAGTAGACGCTGGGAAAAACTTGCCGTTTCAGTGTTTCACACAGACACTCTATTTGTGCATATATATGTGCATATATATGCAAATTCATTCTCTGCCAGCAGACAATAAAAGATCCTATATCAATATCCTATCGAATAGAATATACTTCTTGTGATTTTGTTGCATGTATATGTAATATTGCAGCTGCATTCAATATGGAATTTGACTCTTTGATTCATAGATTATGAAGCGATTTCAAATAGATCTTAGTCTAATGGGTGTATGTTAGACTAGTCAATTAGTCAGATACTTTAGAGATAAAAACGGATACATTAGTCAATACATTTCTATTTAAATATTTATGAAATTAGTCGTGGTGCACATCCCTTCTCTCTAAGCAATCAAACTTGCAATTTTCCCACAAATCCAGAGAAGGTGGGAGCTGAGCCTTATCTAGAGACCACAGTAAACCACCACCCAGAGCACCCTTGCTAACCTAGATACACCTAGTAGTATGGTATAGTATATTACATCCCAATTTTGATCCAACCAAATCCAACAATTGAAAAGCAGAGTGAGAGAGCACAACACCACTTGGTGTGAATAGCTTCATATTGACATGATACAGCATAACGCTGTTGTGTCTCAAAAAGTGGACGTTTGTTTCAATTGAAGTAGATTATCTACTTCATCCCATGCTCTTTGCTCTCTGTTGTCTTAAGTGTCTTGATACTGTTGGCTTTAGTGAATGAGAAATTGCTTCGGATGATCGTGTGAGAGAGCGGTCCGTACAAATGTGAATTATTTCAGAGTTTTGCAAACCCGTTAGTCAATTCAATGGAAAGAAAGAACTGACTCAAAAGAATCATTAAATCACAAATGATTGCCATCTCTGGTTCAGTTGACAAAAGTATGGGACATGAATAATAACTGCTGAAATATCTGAATGGAAAACATTTCTCCAGTTCTTTCTCCATGTAGATGTTTTCATGGGTTGGGTATAATGTAGATGTGCCCCCCAAAGCTTACAGCTCTGTTTGGATTTTAGGAGGAGCTGATGGAGTCCAGCAGTGATGCAGAGTCCTCCGCTGAGGAAGAGAAGTCGCGTGGCTCCGTCATCGACATGGAGGACCTTGGGAATGTGATGAATCGTATGAAGAAAGCCAAGGTAAAAACAAAACCATGCAGCTCCACTGTGTTAACTTACAGTTTGTGCTCTTTCAGAACCTATTTAGTGAGAATTTAAATGGATAGTTATTTACCTCGCACTCTAAACCTGTATACTGTTTTTTTTCTCTGGAACACAAAGTAGAAACTTTGAAGAATCTTTTGGCAGCTCTTTTCCATGCAACAACAATTAAAGTGATAGTTCACCCAAAAATGTAAATTCTGTCATTGTTTACATACCTTCATGTTGTTCCAAACCCATATGAGTTTCCTTCTGCTGACTACAAAAGAAGATAACCGTTGACTCCCATAGTACGGAATAAATACTATGGAAGTCAGTGGGTACCGCCAACTGTTTGGTTATCCACTTTCCTCATATTATCATCTTCTGTGCTTAGCAGAAGAAAGAAACTCATTGCGACTTTGGAACAACATGAGTGTGTAAATGATGACAGAATTAAAATTTTGGGGTGATCTATCCCTTTAGTGTCAACACAGTATTTTTGAATCTAGACAAAAGCTTTGGCAAAGGAAAAGATCACAAGGGAAAACAACTTGAAGGGATAGAGCACTCAAAAAGGAACGTTGTCATCATTTACTCACCCTCATGTTGTTCCAAAACCGTAAGTCTTAAAGTCTTATAGGTTTGGAATAACATGAGTGTTAGTAAATAATGACAGAATTTTCGTTTGTGGTTAAACTATCCCTTTAAATGTGATCTTGTCCTTGCACAAAGCTAGGACTTGGAATGTAGCATATGCATGGTATGGGCCATTTTGCTATTTTAGAGCATGATGTGATCTCTGAGTTGTCATTGTGTGGCATGAAAACAGAAGAAATGACAGCGAATGGATTTGTACTGACACGAGGGTGAGTAAATAATGACAGAGTTGGGCAAACTATTCCTTTAAAAGGACAGAGTGCTGTAGACACACCGGCAATGGCTCCATTGAAGGAGACTGAGTGGCAGATGGTTTGCTACAGCAGCTCCAGCAGGCGCTGGGAGGACTTACGTAACCGTGAACTGTGATCACTGACGCCCACTCTACAGGCCTGTGTGCGCAGGAGTGATTCATGAGACAGAAGCACAGACAAATCTCCCCATACACATGCATACGCACTCTCTCGCATCCTATTCGCACCAGAGAGGATCCCAGCCCCCTTTAATCCAGGAAGGGCCCTTTTTGGATGCCTTCAGGATTGGATGCGTGTTTAAACCGCTTCAGAAGATGTTTTTAGAAATGTGGTTTGCAGCTCAAGCAATCAGTTGTTTGTGTTGTTCCCGATACACAGATCAAATGATATCCCATAAGCTATGAATGTGTTTCAGCTGGCAGATAATTACAGGAGAGGGCAAATGGGGTTTTGAAAAAACATGATGGATTTAATAGCATTATTGATTTATTTACAAGGGCTGGCAGTTTGATGCATTAAAGGTGCAGTAGGAGATATTGGAAAATTTAGCCTGATAGCACTGAAAGCGAACGTCCCTCCCTCCCTATAAATCACTGTCCAAAGCCATGCCCCCTGAACACACGAACGCGAACCGATCAGATGACCAGAGACAACATTACTACAATACAACATGTGTCATTCACCGGTGAGAAAACTTTATAGTACAGTTAGTAAATACCAGGAAGGAAGGTCAGGTTGTTGATGTTTGGCTGCCATTCTCGCTCTGTCTGCACAGCGTACGTGATACGTCATCAACGCGAACAGTGTGCGCAGAGGTATGCAAATACATATGTTGATATGCAGGTAGGAAAATCGAGCGTTTTGATTGGAGGAACATTTCTTGGTCCTATGCCTTCCACAGAATATATAAATACATATTAATAAGTTTAGACCACTTAACTTAATGATTGCTATCGGGATGTGAAGAGACTTTCAACCAGCATAACAAAAAATGTTTCTGAAGACAATCACCTATTGCGCCTTTAAGGTTGTATAATTAGTTATCAAAAATAAAAGCATTTGTGTTCAGAAACAGTGAGGCTACAGGGGATTGCAAGGATCTTGAGATACGTTTTACAAAGTTGAACTACTTTGAACGTTTGATGCATTAGTTCATCTGAGCACTCAAAGTGGTCTATATAACTATATAAAAGGCTGATATAACATGCATATATGAACACCCCAAATGATCAAAGAACTGTAGCTTTCATCATACAATATATGGTTTATTTGGGCTCTTTTTGTCCACTTGCATTGTGAATGCCATAAAAAGTCACTTGTAGCTGGTTGCCTTTCTGGTTCACTCTAACTGAACTGGGTTTGGTTAATTTAAAGTGTATTATATGTGAAAACTAATTTAAAAACACTGATCACTGTATCCCATCTTGTTGATTTATGCTTAAACATCAGCCCCATTTGATGAATGTAGATGTAGGGAAGTGGTTAATCTAATTATTTTAATTTAAACATTGAATCGCTTTTCTCAGCAAATATTGATATATGCAGTTAATTTGATTATTAAGGGTAGTGTAATTGATTTGATTAAACTCTTTACTGTTAATTGATTGGCATCTCTAATATTTACATTTAAAGACAACATGTAATCAAAATCGGACAAATTCATCATTATTTCAAATAAATTATTTCTTAAAAACCAATCATTTTATCAATGTAATAATTTTTTCTCTCCCCTGTTGACATAAGTCTGAGTGGCCAGGCTAAAATGATAACTAGTAATATTATAGTTAAACATCTGAGATCCAGTCAAATGAGGATGGATAAAATGTCCATCCTCCGTTCTTTTACTCGAACCATCATGTTTCAGAAATTAAATGTGTTATGAATTTCATGCCTTTTATGAATGTGCAGCCATGATTTGTAGATGAAGTGTGTCATTAACGTCACCAAACAGATTAGAAGAATATCTAGACAAGTTGCTTGAACACTCGCCCCATCTGCCATTGGTCAGCCAATCAGATAGTCCCGCCTCAAACTCGACCCAGTGTGTTGTGGTTTCAGCTGGTTGTGATTCTCAAACAAACAATATTTTTTTTAATATGCCACAGTGTGCCACTTATTTTTGTTTCTGCACAATTAGCTGTGATAAGACATAGACACTTCAACTATTTTCTAATTTATTGACTGAAGTGTCATCTGCCTGACTTTTACTGTATGTTTGAGTCACATCTCAACGCCCAACCAAAATGACAAACATGTAAGAAACATGTCAGCGAACACTGTTGTTGCATTTATGTTGATCCAGCTAAACTGGTTTGTTTGGCTCTGGATTTTTCACATTCACCGAGGTCAGGTCAGGAGGAGCAAGGAGGAGATTTCACCTTTAACATAGAGGAGAAACACACCATCACTAGATTCTGTATTGACGTGTTGCATCTCTGTCACTCACATCTTCAGTTGCAGCTGGTTGTGATTCTCAAACAAACAATATTTTTTTTAATATGCCACAGTGTGCCACTTATTTTTGTTTCTGCACAATTAGCTGTGATAAGACATAGACACTTCAACTATTTTCTAATTTATTGACTGAAGTGTCATCTGCCTGACTTTTACTGTATGTTTGAGTCACATCTCAACGCCCAACCAAAATGACAAACATGTAAGAAACATGTCAGCGAACACTGTTGTTGCATTTATGTTGATCCAGCTAAACTGGTTTGTTTGGCTCTGGATTTTTCACATTCACCGAGGTCAGGTCAAGAGGAGCAAGGAGGAGATTTCACCTTTAACATAGAGGAGAAACACACCATCACTAGATTCTGTATTGACGTGTTGCATCTCTGTCACTCACATCTTCAGTTGCTCTTCTCTGTTCGATTTTGCTGAGTGAATACATTTTGAAAGAGTTTATTCTGAATTTCTCAGCATATTATTTATATGTATTATATAGACATTATTAGATGCATGCATAATTCATATTCTTAGTGGAGTATAATAATTTATTAATCGCACTGGAATAATGACAACTGTTGTAAAATGCAGAGTGTTTGTGTAGTTTGTGTAGATCTGGGGCTTGTGTATGTAGAATTACTCTGCTTTGGCTCCAGATGGCATCAGAGACATATTGTATCTTGGCTTTACTGATGCAGACCTGACCTTGCATTACTGTTATTATCTGCACTGCTTTAGTTGTGATTTATAAATAGATGTGCATTTCTTATTTTTGATCTCAATAATGATTCTATATAATGATATATAATGATAGTGTTTCTGACCTTAAAGATAATGAGTGTCATTTAAAATAATTGGTCCTATCTCAGCTTTATGTGCAGATACAATGCATAAGCCATTCATAGGTTCTTTTGATATATGTGTGGTTCTGTGGCATTGCGTTGTTGGAGTGTCTCTGTGTTTGTTACATTGTCTTGACCATTGGTGTGAGTTTAGAGAAGGTTTATTCTACTAATGGCAAAAACATTTTTGAAAGCATCCTTTTTTTGCAGTTTCATATGGAGCTACTGGTGGTGTAAAATGTGCACACTGCTCCCTTAAAATCCCCCTGAAAGACCATCTATATGTTAGTGTACTCATAAGTATTGGCGCAAATTAATTTGTATTATCACACAAAAAGTATTCTCGTAGCTTTGCAAAATTGAAGTTGAGCCACTGATGTCACATGGACAGTTTTACAGATGTCCTTACTATGTTTCTGGACCTGGGAACATTACAATTGCGTTGCTGTCTATGCAGGCTCTGAAAGCTCTCAGATTCCATCAAAATATCTTCATTTGTGTTCTGAAGATGAACGAAGGTCTTACGGGTTTGGAACGACATGAGGGCGAGTAATTAATGACAGAATTTTCATTTTGGGGTGAACTAACCCTTTAAAGGGGTGGTTCACTGCTTTTTTTTTTCTAGGCTTGGTTGTGTTTATGGGGTGCATGTTAATGCTTCGTTTTTAAAAAAATGCATTATAATTTTTTTTTTTACATAATTTACCTTTATTCCACACCGCTCTGTCCCTATGTGCAATGGGCTCTGATTGATTAGCTGGCCCAGTGTGTTGTGATTTAAATGCTACTGCTTATGTTAGCTTTTAATATACGTTTTATCCTGATTAAAGCTTTAATACAGTATGGCAAATGCACTCACGGCAATGTATAACGCTTCTCATAGCTATGTGAAAATAAGTGTATAAATGGAACAGTTCATTGTTGGAGCTGAGCTGAGAGAGAGAGAGATGCAGAGCGTGTGTGGAGCAGGGGAACGCGAGGAACAGTATTGAGAACCACTGCTTTAGAACATTGATTTTGAAACTTGTGAATCCATTAGAATCGTTAGAAGACAGAATCGCGATTCATATATGAATAGATATTTACGCTTCCTAACTTTGCAGATATTGTTTATGCTCAAACGGCAACATTACACACTAACTAACGTTATAAAAAAGTGAAAATCACAATCAACCACCCCTTTAAAAGTCACCATCTGCCACCAGAGTACCACGAAAAATTTAAATTCATCTTTCACCCTCATGTCATTTCAAACCTGTATAACTTTCTTTGTTCTGTAAAACAAAACAATTGTATTTATTTATTGATTTTTTGAAGAATCTTTACACAAAGGTCACGCTACTGTTAAAGATATGTAGATTCCCCCAGAAGTATTCCTTTTTGTGTCACATAGCGTAGCTGCATTCAGTTTTGGAACAGAGTGAGTAGATAATGACAGTTTGTGAATTTTTAGGTGAACTGTTTCTTTTAAGATCCTGTGTGAGACATTATCCTGATAGTCTGCTGAGTCTGTGCGGATTAAACTAAAAATTATAATATGTAAACCCATACCACCTTAGAGCACACGCTTTAATGTCATGCATAGATTTAGTGCAGGTGTGGATCGAGGCTGTTTTCACTGCTTAGTATTAGCAAGGTGGAAATTGAGATAACAGCTCATGGACAGGCATTGTCCCGCGGCCACAACGGCCCGTGTGGGACGGGCGGCAGCCGGAGAGGCTTGTCGTCATTTTGGCTGGCTCTCAGTCTTAATGTGTCAGCTGCTCAGCCTGAACTCTGCAGGGTCACTGCCTGCATCACCGCTGTCACTTGCATGGGTGGTTTGTGGGAAATGGAGCGTTTCCAGCTGAAGATAGCTGCTCTGGTTCTGTCAGTCTGAAGGAGGAGGGGTGCGGAGAGCCGCCGTGCTGCAGTAGAGACGAAAGCGCAGAGATGACGAGATGAATCTTGGGTGACAGATTGCAGCCTAGTCAACTCTACGTTGTGCGTGGCAGTTCCACGACAGGTCTCGCTGTGAAAGGGCATAATGTCCGCTTGCCAGTCCAACCCCACCTGGTGCCTTCCACCCGCTCTTGTTGTTGGATTTTGCTCAAGGGACATTGTGTACTCTGGAACAAATGAACAAAGTCACAGAAGCACAAACACTGAAACGGGTGCTGAAGCAGTCGCTGTTTCTTGGCCCGGATGTTGAGGGACCTCAAAGTTTTGTCCTGGTATGCAAAACAAAGCATAGACAGTATGATGGGGCAGAGATGTGCCACTCGTAGGAAAATATAAATAAATATAGAAAATAGCTGTAGGAATAGAATCCCTACAGAGACATTTTTTGATAGAAAGATTGAATAAACTCCAGTTCCTGCAGATTAGCTAGATCATCCTGAAAAGGTTTTTTTTTGTTTGTTTTTTGTGTGTGTGTGTGTGTGTGTGTGGGGGG